TGATTCTGTCAAAATAGAACAAAAGTATTATTTTTAAACTGAGAAGAAGAAAACCTCTGGCAAATAACCTATGTAATAAAATATTCTATTTCAAGTGCAGCCTCTAACTGAAATGCAGTAATAATATCCTTATAAGCCCAGACCAAGACATCAGTAAATCAGATGTATATGGGAGTATAGATCTGTAATTCAATAACCCTAGTATTTTTTGGAGAGAGACAACATGACTCAGCACACATCCAAGAAGTTCCTGCAGGTCATTGATGGTAACTTTTTGACCTAAATGGTAGAAGAGCCAACAAAGAAAGGTGTGTTGTTGGACCTTGTAAAACAAGCCAAGAAGGACTGAGAATGTGAAAGTTGGGGGCCGCCTTGGTTGTAGCAACCATGAGATGGTGCAACTCAAGATCCTGCACAGAGGAGGTAAAGCAGCAATCAGGACTAGAGCCCTAAACATCCAGAGAGGCAACTTCAGCCTCTTCAAAGACCTGCTTAGCAGAATCTCATGGGTTAGGGCTCTAAAGAAGAAGGAGGTCCAAGAAAGCTGGTCAATATTCAAGCATCATTTATTTCCTCCACACTCAAGACCAGTGCATTCCCATGAACCAGAAATTAAGCAAAGGGGGCAGGATGCTCATCCTTTATGGATGAGCAGGGAGTTTCTGACAAATCTCAAATAGAAGAATGAAATTTATGGAATGTGAAAAAAAGGACAGGCCACATGTTAGGATGATGGAAACATTATCACAGAATGCAAGGAGGTGACAAGGAAGGCCAAAACCCACTTCCAGTTGAGTCTGTAGAAGAATATCAAGGACAACAAGCAAGGCTTCTACAAGTAGATCATCAGCAAAAGGAATACTAGGGAAAATGTGGGGTCACTGCTGAATAAGACAGTTGTCCCAGTGAAGGAAGACAGAGAGAAGGCAGAATTACTGAATGCATTCTTTCCTTCAGTGTTAACTGCTGAGGCCAGCCCTCAGGAATCCCAGACCTTGGGGTAAGGAGAGGAAGGCTGGAGAAAGGAAGACCTACCCCTGGTAATTGAGGCTTTAACTAGACAGGCTTAAAATTCAAAAATCCATGGGCCTTGATGGGATGTACACACAGGTGCTGAGGGAGCAAGAAGATGACGTTGCTAAGCCACTCCCCGTCATCTCTGAGGTGCCCAATGACTGGACAAAGGACAAAGTTAGTCTCATCTTCAGAAATAGCATGAAGGACCCTGGAAACTACTGGCCAGTCAGCCTCACCTCCATCCCTGGAAAGGTGATGGAACAGAACATTCTGGAAGTCAGCACCAGAATGCAGAAGAAAAGAAGGTCATCAGGAGCAGTCAGCAGGAATTTCCCAGGGGTAAATCATACTTGACCAATCTGACAGCCTCCTGTGATGGCAGGGCTGGACGGGGAGGCAAGGGGAGAGCAGTGGTTGTTGTCTGCCTCCACTTCAGCAAGGCTTTGGACACCATCTCCCATAACATCCTCACAGGTAAGCACAGGAAGCGTGGTTTAGATGAATGGACAGTGGGATGGACCAAGAACTGGCTGAATGGCAGAGCTCAGAGGGTCAGGATCAGGGCAGCAGAATCCAGTTGGAGGCCTGTAGTCAGTGGTGTTCCCCAGGCACCAATACTGGGCCCAGTCTCACTCAACTTGTTTATCACTGCCCTGGGTGAAGGGATCCAAGGTACCCTCAGCAGGTTTGCTGATGATCCAAACTGGGGATGGCTGATACACCTGAAGGCTCTGCTGCCTTTGGGCTGGGCCTTGGTGGGCTGGGGAGTTGGACAGAGAGAACCCTAACGAGGTTCAACAAGGGCAAGTGCAGGGTCCTGCAGCTGGGGAGGAATAACCCCAAGGACCAGCACAGGCTGGGGCTGCCCCACTGAAGAGCAGCTGTGCAGAGAAGGACCTGGGAGTCTTGGTGGATCACAAGGTGACAATGAGCCAGCAGTGTGGCCCTGTGGCCAGGAGGCCCAGTGGGATCCTGGGCTGCACTGGGAAGAGCGTGGCCAGCAGGTCAAGGGAGCTGATCCTCCCCCTCTACTGGGCCCTGGTGAGGCCACATCTGGAGTGCTGTGTCCAGCTCTGGGCTCCTCAGTACCAGAGAGACAAGGAGCTCCTGGAGAGGGTCCAGCAAAGGGGCACAAAGATGATGAGGGGTCTGGAGCATCTCTCTTAATGAGGAGAGACTGAGACAGCTGGGCCTGTTTAGTCTAGAGAAGAGAAGACTGAGAGGGGATCTCATCAATGCATGTAAATATCTCAGAGGTGAGTGCCAAGAGGATGGTGCCAGACTTCTCAGTGGTGCCCACATACTGGACAAGAAGTAATGGCAATAAACTAAAACATAAGAAATTTCACCTCAAGTTGAGGAAGAAATTCTTTATGTTGAAGGTGGCAGAGCACTAAAACAGGCTGCCCAAGGAGGTCATGGATTCTCCCTCTGTGAAGACATTCAAAACCCAGATAGACCTGTTCCTTTTTAAACTGCTCTAGGTGACCCTGCCTTGGAGGAGATGATCTCCAGGGGTTTCTTGTAACTGTAACCCTTCTGCGATTCTGTGAATTTAAGGCAAGATCTTTCATAGCAATATCCTCACAAAAAAAGGGAGAGAGAAAAATTACAATTAAGTTTACTGGAAAAAATTAAATTTTAAAATGTTCAGATAACCAAGCAGCTGTACTTGTTACTTTTTTTTAAAAGTATTTATATTGACTTTTCATAATAACACTACTTAACAATATACAGCAACACACACACTGTCATAAAACAATTGCAGCCCAGTAGCTGCAAGTATGTTCTCACACATTTTCTTTTGCTATTTTTCTGAGACAGCCCTAGAAAATAACTTCCATCTGGATAGTAAATCTATCCAAGTAAGTGCCAATGTAACACTTCCTCTAAAGAATGGTTTCTAATTGGATACCATTAACAACGCTGCTGAGATTAGCAATAGATCTGAGCTTCATTTCTGATGTTTCACTTGATTGCATATTCTTTGGGTGTGTATTTGTCGTGTTACTAAGAAAACCTTAAGAGGGAGGAATAAATTGATTTTTAAAACTACTGCATTTGAATGTCATCCACTTCTCTTCCTTACTTAAAAAAAAAAAAAGCACCATATAAATGCAGTGATTTTTACAACAGCAAACTTAAGTCTGAAGGAAATTGCAGCAGTCCCACAAATCTTCATGGAATACACAACAACCCAAGCTTCTTTAAAAGCATGACACTGATGTTTTCAGATGGCTAAAAAATTCCTTAACATTATTGAACTGACACAGTTTGGATTTAATTTTTCTCATTTTTAAGTTAACATATAGCCAGAAATATGAAATATTTATCCCAACAGGATATTGAAGTGCACTCCATCCCTCACCAGCCACATCCTTTTTTTTAAATATGCAGTTGAAATAATCATAGCTACTATGTACCTAGTAATCACAGCTATTTGGTACAGCTAACTGGAACTAAGCTACTTCAGAACTGCTTTGCTTTCCGAACCCACTAATTTCTACATCAAATAACCTCATTTTCTTTCACTGCTACTATGAAAAAGATCCATGGAAACAAATTCCTGACTTTCTATACGAAGAAAACAATGAAAATTAAATAAACAAAACAACCAGACTAAAGGATGGGAAGCTTCTGGCAGAGCCAAAAAACCATAATAGACAGCTTATGCTTCAGGTTTAGTTTTTTGAGGGATTACTACTGTATGAGAAAATATTTTTTCGCATGCAGTCAACATCTATTCCAGCAGAAAGGAAGAGATACTGTCTAAATTCCTCTAGTTATACCACCACAGTCAAAAGAGACGAATGAGCACAATGGAAGTGAAGGCAGGAGGCAGTGCTAGTCATTTGCCCACAAGAAGCAACAAACCTTATGGTGCAGCAAGCACAGCTGAGGCAGTGCAGCAACAGCACGGATTATTAGCTCAGCAGAGAATGCCAAAGCACACAAAGCTTACAGCATTGTAGGCTACACAAAAGGTTAGAAAACACAAGCATGTGCACATGCTTCTCTCTACTAAAGCATATGCTGTTTATAGAAATACCAGATAAAATATGCAGAAGGTTTTCTATCCTTTGAACCAGTATTTTATAGCCTCAAAATTAAAGTAATTGGGGAGTCAATATTTATTAGCATTTCCACAATCTGAGCAGCGCTATTAATAAAATCAGAGCAGATGGAAGCTGCTGTCATATGTTGTTGGGGTTTTTTTTCTGGGGCAGGAGGGGGACTAGGCAGTGACAGTTCCTCTACAGGAGTTCATATAGACCTTCTGACAACTAAATACTCTATTGGGCACTCTTTTTATTCATAGAAAATACTTGCCTCTATGAACCCTTACAATAGGAGGCAAAAGCAAGTTAGTGCCATCTGCATTGGCATCATTTAATAAAGAAAAAAGCTGATTCTGAACATGTGTTGCTTTTCCATTGAGCTTTGAAAGCAAATCAAACTTTGCCTTGTTAACACTTTTCACATTTTTATATATGCTCTCTAGCTAAAAAATGTCAACACACCAGTAAGAGACAAAGTATATTATGTGATGTATGCCTAGGCTTTAGAGCAGCAAACCAAAAAGGACAGTAGGAGGAGCAACAAAAATTTCTAGCATTTTTTCAAGTACCTTTTGTCCAAGTTTTCCAAATAAATATGCTTATCATTTCTAAGAACTGAAAAAGAAAATTACAAAACTCAGTATTCTAAAGTTCTCAAGCCAAAAGCTTGTGTCCACTTAATGAACACTGAGCTTTAAAACAGAATTATTTTCTTTTTCATATATTTCCCTTTCATGTAAATAAATATAATCTACTTGGGTCTTCAACAGATATTCAGAGCTTAAAAAAAGTAACATGAGATGTGATGCAGAATAAAACTCAAGTGCTTTGAAGGCATTTATAACAAAATATGAATAAATAAGAGGATTTCTATTTTTACACATTAGGCAGTTGGTCCAGAGGAAAGAAAAATATTGTACTTACCACTGTGTTACTTTCTTCTCCCTGCTGCTTCTTCCCTGAGCTTTCAAAGTCAACATTCTGTTTAAGACAAAGGGACAAATTTTAGTAAACCCTATCACTACTAGATAAGAACAAACTAATATTTTATTGTATTGTATTAGATATATTTTTGGCTTTCAGAGTTTTGGTTTTGTTAAAAGAAAAGCTTTACATGTGTATGAACAGCTTGAATATTTCAGAGTACTTGAAAGACTTCCAAGACAGTAAAACTGCATGTATTCTTTTAAAGGGGATCATTCTTGTGCGTACAAAACATTGTTTTTTACCCTGTTTTTATTTTAACACACTCTGTCTACAAACTTGTTTCATTTTTACTCCTTTTATAGTTACTATATTAAAATATTATGTTTCACAGATTTCTCTTGCACACAGTTCTGAAGAATTCCATGAAAAAATGCATCAAAAATTTACCAAAGATGAAGAGTACATTTTTGCATGTTAACTTCAGGAATTTTTTAGGAAGTTGCAACATAAGGCATAACAGATCGGATGCTAACTTCACTGGCATAGAACAATTAAAAACAAATGAAAGCATCCAGTGTTTTTGACTGAACACACACAAAATTAGTTGGCTGGAGTGATGGGAAGGATTAATTTTGCTTCCAACAAAGGCAGAAGTAGAACATATCTTCAGAGACATTAAATGCTAACTGTGGTCAGACAGATCATCTAACCAAACACAAAGTTATGTAGAGCAGATAAGAAGCTAAGTCAAGCAGAGTATAATCTGTCAAATTCTCAGTATCTAGAAGAGATTTAAGTTGTGAGGATCCCAGGTAGTAGCTTCAAATTCAAAGGATTTGCCTATAAATGGAACTACATTTCATTTATTTCCAGTAAAAGCAGAATTAAGCCACCATGAAATAAATAAATAGATCCTGAAATAGATTTAAAATTAACTTTTTCCAGGAGAAAAGCAAGTTCCTTGTTTTGGGGTAAGAAACAGGACAATGAACTACCACAGAAGTCAGGACTTCCACAAAAGGACTGCACTACAATCAAATTTTGCATATCACATGTCCTATTCCTCCTTTGGGAGTCACTGGTGTCAGCTTCTGCATTCATACCAAATGAACTCTAATACACTACACTGCACACATCTATACATTTATTTTCAATAGAAGGGCATCCAAGACATGCAAATAGCAAGGGATATAAGTAATATTAAAGCCACAAGCCTTTCAAGCACCCTACTGAAAAAAAAATTCTATTAGTTCAGCCAGCTTCAGAAATGCAGAGCAGAACCACTCAAGACAATTAAAAAGATCAAGAAAGACGTCAATGATCAAACCAGATTCTGAAACTTGGGCTCTTAGAAGAGTCAGTTAAATTGCCATGGCTGCATGCCTCTTTCCCACACCACTTTGCTCCTACTGCAAAACTGTGATCTTTACAAAAGCTATTTCAGAGGCACTGTACACAAACTCCCGAACAGAAGAAATGCAGGTCTGCAATAGTTGTGCTAGAATAAGCAGAATTCATCCAGAGAACACAACAGTGCAGAGCTGGATCTGAAAAAGAGACAGTCAGGTGATTATGCCTCTGAAAGATAAGACTTAAGGTCAAGAGTCTGCAGGCAAAGTATTCGCAGTAGAATAATTATCAAAGAAATAGCTAGCCCTATAATCATCACAGAAACAATAAACAAAAAGGGATTACTCTTGCATCATTTCCTGACACCTGTTTGGCTGCATCTGTTGAAATGCCTAAAAGAATAAAATCCAGTGGTAGGCAGTCATTACCATTTAAACTGTTTGCAGACTTTCAACCCAAGCAGAAGGAACTCATCCAATCTCAAATATCAGAGGCAATAATAGAGCAAGTGTGTGCATGAGGGGAGGAATACATGAGGCTACCTGGATATTTCATGTCATGCTGCTTTATAATGATTTAGAAGCTGCACAAGCCTCTGAACAAGAGACATCAGTTACAAAATCAAACAAAAGCAACGAACTCAGTGCAAACGTAATGTCACTTGAAACTGTGACACTGAGTCACATAACCTTAAGCCTCAATCAAAAGACGACAGCTCAGGATGTGCTGTAGCTATAACTGTAAGCATCAATGAGTTTCCAATAGCAGAAACCCTCCTATCACCACACAGTTTGCACAAAACAACCTAAGAAAATAAAGTGGGATATTTAGAGGAGCTCAAAGTAACCATGCACCAGAACTGCAGAAATCTAGAGACAAGGGACTAACGTGTTTGTCTCAAACACCAGTAGCAGGGTGGCTGTGGCACCAGCCAAGGACTGTTGGCAATAACATGCTGTGAGAAAGAACAAGATGTGACTGGACAAGGGGCCACACAGAGGTAGGACAGCACTCCTCTGGGACAAAGGTCTTTGATCTACCTCCTGGAGATAAGCACAGTGCAGTACAGCACAAACAGAGAAATGAGGTGGAGAAGCAGGCACAGACTCTATGGGGGGAACAAGACCACCAAAGACCCAAAGCCCTCTGACCCATTTCCACAAGGACCTGGAAGAATGGACTGTGAGTCGTAAGTAATTTGCATAGAAAGTGTGACATATCGCCAGGGCAGGGAAAGCTACTAATAGGTACCCTGATCTAAACCGAGGAAGTGGCCCCAGGACATCCCATCAGCTGAATTGATGCTGCAGCCAGGACTGGTAATCTCTTTCCTTCTTTCTTTCCCTTCTCCCCCTCCTAAATTCATCTCTCTCTTCCCTTACACCCTACCCCTTTATCCAAAATCCAGGGTCATGTGCTTATATTAGAGGCCAGTGTACTAACATACCAATTTCCAAGCCAAGTGTGTAATTTACTAATAAAACTTCATAAGCTTTTGTGGATCATCTGACTTCTCATTCCTTTCAACCAATGAGTATCTACAAATCTTGGGTGCTCCCTTCCCCCTAAGGGTGCAACATCACAAAGACCTCAGCTAGTTCAGTTCACCACTTTTTTAGTTGTTTTGCAGGAGTGGTAACAGGTGCTTCAGATGACTAGCGGTTACTTTCTCTCAAGGTAAAAACACCTAATGAAATCTTATTTAACCAAACTCTAGGAAACTATATCAATCACATCAGACTGAGTCTCAATACGTTTCCCTAACCAAAAAACTCTAGCATTCTGTTTTATGAAGAGCGGGAGCTATTTTATGTATATGCCCCATTTGTACTCTTTCTTGATTAAAACCCAAATGCTACTATAAATGCTTGCCAGCTGGACTGCTGGTCTGACCCAGAGCAGCCATTCCAATCACTGCACTCCAGGGGTTGCTCACAACTAAGTGGACAAGTATTTCTCATTTCACCAAGTATTTCATTTCCAACTTACCACTGGCTTTAACCTAGATAGGGTGAAAACAAGGCCAGACAGCCAAAAAAAAATAGTGAAAAACTGTCTGAGCAGTCAGGGATCAGGTTAGGAAAACTAAAGCACGGGTAAAATTAGATCTCGCCAGGGGCATCAAGGGCAACTAGAAAAGCTTCCACAAGATACCTTCTTTGCCATACAGAAGGAATCATACAAACTTTAGAAGCAGATCCATGAGAACCTCCAAGTTCAACAAGGCCAAATGCAAGGTGCCGCACTTGGGTCGGGGCAATCCCAGACATAAACACAGACTGGGAAGCAAATTCAGTGAGAGCAGCCCTGTCAAGAAAGACTTTAGGGTTCTCCTGGATAAAAAGCTGGACAACAGTGTGTGCCCACAGCCCAGAAAGCCAACTGTATCCTGGTCTGTATCAAAACAGCAGTGGAAGGAAGTGATTCTGCCCCTATCCTCTGCCCTTGTAACACCCCACAGAAGTACTGTGTCCAGTACAAGAAATTCTTTACCATGAGGGTGAGGAAGCACTGGAACAGACTGCACAGAGAAGTTGTGGATGCCCCATCCTTGGAACTGTCCAGAGAAGGAGGGTGTGAACTCGATAATCTTTACAGTTCCTTCCTTAGAGAAGAAAGGTGATTTCTATTATTTCTATAGGCATTCTAAAGGATTTCTATTATTTCTATTTCTATAGGATTTCTATTATTTCTATTTCTTCCTTCTATGGGTGATAGAAGGAAGACTATAAAAATGTGGCTCCCCTCCAAAGTAAATGGGAGAACTACTTACCTGTGACATGAAGAAGGCCAAAGCACTCAATTACTTTTTTTGGCTCAGCCTTCACCAGCAAGTTCTCCAGCTACCTCACCAGAGCTGCAGAAACAAAGACAGGGACTGGAAGAATGAAGAACTAACTATCTGCTGTAGAAGATCTGGTTTTTGACCATCTAAGTGAACAGGAAGGTTCACAAGTCCATGGGACCCAATGAGGTGCATCCACAGATCCTGAAGGAATTGACAAAGGAAGTAGGTAAGCCACCACCTATCTAACTTGAGAAGCTGTGGAAGTTCTAACGACTGGGAAAAGGACATATAACCACAATTTTTTTAAAGGAAAATAAAAACCCATAGAATTTACAAGTCAGTCAGGTCTCACCTCACTGCTCATAAAGATCACTGAGCAGACCCTCCTGAAAACTCTGTTAAGGCACACTGAAAACAAGGAGGTGATTTGTGACATCCACCACATCTTCACTAAGGGGAAGTCGTGTCGGACAAATGTGGCTGCCTTCTATAATGGGGCTACAGTTCACTTGAGATCCTCAGAATTCTTTCATTTGGCTTTGGAGGTTGACTTGAAAAGAATACTGATGTACCCAGAACATGTAGCAAACTTTCATACAACAGATCAGGATATAGGGTTATACTTCAGTACAATGAATGAGGCCCAAGCAGTTTTTACTTTCCCCAAACTGTTTAAGGAAACAAAAATAAAAACCAAACCAAACAAACCAAACAAACAAACCCCCAAAATAAAAACCAAACAACAACAATAATAACCAAAAAAAAAAAAAAAAAGGAAAAAGAGAGAGAGCAAGAGAGAGAGAGTGGGTAAACCGCAACACGCTCCTCATTTCAGCAAGGGTTGGAAATAAGTGTGCCAGAGAAGGCTTCCTGAAGATAAGGAAAGCATCATATCTCTCTCAAGGAAAGTACCAAG